GTCTTGTCTCAGTCTTGAAGGAGCTTGGACTCGGTCTTGTCTCAGTCTTGATGGCGATTGATCTCAGTCTTGTCTTGGACTCGAGGTCTGACACTCGACGAGTGCGATCATATTTCACTACGGCTGGTAAATGTGCCAGTAAGGTAATGGAACTTGATTAACTTTGAAGTTGTTTTCTGTAAAGTGCCAGTGGAAGCGGGATTAAAGAGGGGGTTTTCAAACTGTGGGTGCGGGTCCAAAAAAGGGGCACAGAGTTTTTAAGCGCAGTACAGTTTGCTTGGTCTATTTTAAGCAGGTAAAATGGAGATAGATTTATAAAAGCATATAAGCATGATATATATGTGCCAAAATAACTGTAAAAATATATATATGTGTGTGTGTGTGTGTGTGTGTGTGTGTGTGTGTGTGTGTGTGTGTGTGTGTGTGCGTGTGTGTGTGTGCGTGTGTGTGTGTGTGTGTGTAAATAAATGTAGGAAATGACAAAGATGGTCTTGATTTGGTTTTGATGGGCTGTGGTCTTGGTCTCGATCTTTGTAAGTCTTGGTCTTGTCCTAGTCGCAGACTATTTGTCATGATGACATTTACAGCAACATCTGCTCCCACTGGACACCACAGTTTACTAATGTGGAAGACAGTGGACTTATTTCTTTTTTAAGTAGTTTTAGATGAATATTATGACTTCAAATGAAAAAAATACAACATATTGATCAGCAGGTGTCATAAATTATAACTATATAACAGACACAAGCACAAACTGTGCTGCTGAAAATATGCAGCAAAGCATTTTAGTGTCTTTTCTTAGCTTTTTTTTGTTCTTATTTTCCTGTTTGTACAAATTTCCTCTCTGCAAATTTAAGATACTGACAAGGATGGAATGTGCTTATATAGCTGAATTAAATTGAATCTCTTCTCTTGGCGATTACTTAAGTTTGCTTACTAAACAAAATTGATCTTCTGGTCTTATTTAACAAGATATTGATTTCCATTAGTGCTGTGCTCAAACAAAGAGGGTAAATATATGATGTCGTTAATAAATGGACATGACAGCTCTGCGATCAATTGAGAATTTTTGTACTGTAAGAAATCAGTTTATTAAAAGAGTGTTTTAAATACTCGTTAGTTATTAAAAACTAAAAATGCAATAAGAATGAACTATGATGGAATTTTCAAGCAGTGTTGTCCAGTATGTTGCAAAGGGAGGATTTTTTTCAATCCATAGCTTCTTTCTCCTACCAAAATATTTCTATCAGTTCAATCACAGATGTTCCATTGAAGTACAAAGAGCAGTGAACCCCCCACCCCTCTCTCTCTCTTTCGCCCTCTATTCCCTCCCAAGTGGCTCATGTTGGTGCTCAGAGACAGTTGCTTTCAATAGCAATATGAAGAAAATTTTCCATTCATTTTTCCCATTGTCAGTTCAAAAAATTCTAAAATTAAGAGTTCAAAGACATTGCAAAATGTTTTAATACATTTGTGGTTTATAAAGATTCAGATTTCACATAAAACAAGAACAATCAGAGATAGCAACCTGGTCCCCCATGAGGCATCGGTGGGGGCAGTTCATCACCATGGAAGCAGCTTATGAGGAGCCCAGCCCATATGACATGATCTTTATATCCACAATGCAATGTGTGTATCTGTACAGTGCCCATGAACATTTGTGTAATATTGGTCACACATGTCTGTGTTTAGTAGAATGTAACGAAAATGTCATTTTTCATGTGTTGTGTATATGTTAGTCCTGTGATTGTAGATCAGTGTGTTGTGTATCACCTCAAAAAGAAGAAATGGAAATTATTTTCGTTTCAATTTTAATTTTAACGACATACACTGAAAGAGAAAGGAATTGTTAAAATTACTGATTATCTCGAAAACTATTAATATTTTAGTTATTATTTTAGTTTAGTTATTATTAGTTATTTTAGTTAGAGTTATGACCAAAAATGAATATTTGACCTTGGTTACCTTGACCGGTTTCAACCTGGAACATCCAGTGTACCCCGGTTATGTGTGTGCCAACTTGTGTGATGATTGGGTGAATATTTTAACCCACAGATGGTTCAGAAATGGCTGAAATTGCCTATCCTTTATAATGGCATGACCTTTCAATTGACCCGTGTGACCTCAAATGACCTCAGATCATCACCAAACTTTTTTTTTTTTGCAGCATCGGGCACAGGGGCTTGACCCATGTACCAAAGTTGGTGACAATCGGTCCATAAATGGTGAAATTATCGCAGGTGGACAGACACACACACACACACACAGACACAGACACACAGGGTGAAAACAAAACCTGGTCAACCCTTCGGGGACCACGTAATTATAAGTCTTGTTGTGGTCATAGTTATCAGTCATGAGCAAGAACATTTACTTCCATAACCAGAGGGTGTGTAGTCACTGTTGAGCTCCACTGATCTACTTTAGCTCCAACAGCAAAACAAAAACAAGGGAATGGCTTATTCAAGTTTTAAATGAAGCTTTAAGGACTCATATTATGCTATGAAAAACATACATGGAGTGTTTTTTTTTGTTTCATTCACACATGTTTAACACACAAACCCTGGCTGCATTTAGATTCTTAGTTCTTCTCTCAAACACAAAACACTCTCTTTCACCTTATGATGTCATGTGGTAATGCAGAACGTGGTTCACTGTGTTTTGAAACTCCATACAGCTTTACTAAAAGGTAGTTGTTAGCCTGAAAACTGCCACTTCATGACATCACAAGATAGAACAGAGCATTTTGACTTTGAGAGATGTAGACAGACTAATAGGCATAAAAGGATTACTCAAACATATGTGAATGAAACTAGACAGAACTCCGGGTATGTTTTTGATTAGGTAACAGCATGACTTAAAGCTCACAAGAGTCATTTTTGTGTAATAGAGCCTATAAAAAGAAGATTGTGAGCAAGTTCAGGAGAAACATTCAACCACCTCAAAATTAAGTGTTTACCTGCTTTACATGTTTCTAGACCAGGAGTCTCCAACGTGTAGCTCAGGAGCTTCCCCCTTCCAAGTATCTCGCTAAGGGATTTCTGAATTACACGTATTCTGATTAATTTTACCATTGTACATGTATCATTTTGATGTCTAACTTTGTACACTAATAAATGGATAAAGGTTTATGTTTTATAGGCATCTAACAAAGGGTGACCAGATTTTCAAAATCAAAAACTGGGACACCCCTGGATTCAGGTGTTTGGCAATAATAAAATTGTGAAATAAGTGCGTCATTAATGAAAACTTTTCCGTACTCAGTCTATTCATGACTAGTCACATTTTCTTTGTGTTCTTGTCATTTTTAAGCAGTTTGTTAGTATTTCATCTAAACAAATCACAATATATGCCTCTTTACTGTTGACAGGGATCAAATTGGTCAAAAATAGGGACACCTGGGATATTTCTTGTATAAAACTGGGACAAATCATTGGTTTTGTATAAATCTGCTGGGACAGGGGACACAGGACTCAAAACTGGGACTGTCATGGGTAAATAGGGACGTCTGGTCACCCTAATCTAACTGAACTTCATCTAAGGCTTGCTTTGGGTCTGTTATATACAAAATTTCTTGTGACCGCTAAAACTAGTAGCTCTCTGGTATTTTTTTTTTTTTTTTTTTGGAAAGGTAGCTCACCGGAGGAAAACTGTTGGAGACTCCTGTTCTAGACACTAGTTTATAGTGCCCTGTCTTACATGTAGATAATCCTTTGGCTCATAAGTAAATGCCTATGAATGAATGAATAGCCTAAAATCAGTGATAATAATTAGTTGTTGTGCATAAAGTTATAGATAATTTGCCCCTTTTAAAACTGATACAGAATGACTTTCGGCAAGACATGGCTGCAGGACAAGTGTGTTTTAGTTCTTTTTTATTTCCATCCTTCATTGTATTGTATTCCCACAGGCCTAAATTTGTCAGTGTGAGTCTCACTAACAAGCAGACGTCACAGAGACCTGTCAGAGGACGGCCTAACGAACCACATTTCTATGCACTATGACCAACTACTAGCAACCATCGCACATAAAACTGAGACCAAGTCAGAAAACCATCAAATCATTTAAAAAGAAATATAGTCATTAAAACAAATATGTGAATACAAAATAGAATAGAATAAAACACAACGTAGAGTAAAAAAAATACTAAATATGTACAATCAATGAATCTGACTGTCTATGTGGTTGACAGTGGAGTTAAATAGCTACATTTTTTAGATCATTAGCTAGATCATTGTGGTTAATCCATTTATAGTTTTACTAGAAATGCATGACGGAGATGCTCAAATAATATGAGATGGTGTCGCCTGCTGGTGATAGAGGGTAATGCATGTTTTATGTAATACAAGCGGACACTCCAAGTCATTTAGATTTTGAACATAAGAAACATTTGAAACATAAGACTATATTTGAAGGCAGGCTTGCTTATTTGAAAGTGTCTGCATTCAAGTATCAGACACCATTATAGAAACAATTCATGCATTTGTTCCTAATTTAATCGTAATGCCAACAGAAGTAGCCTGCTTAATCATTGCCGCTTGTAGTTATATTTTGGGAATACAGAGTTAACTCAACTATAAGGACCAAAGGAGTAAAAAGCTGGAGCTATCGGAGCCATCAGCAGGCAGTTTGGTGTATATATACAGAAATATAGAAACATAAAGAAAACCATACTTCATTATTCATTTTAGTATTTTGAAACAAAAAAAACAAATAATGTCTCCTTCATATTTTATTGCTGTATCTGAATAAAAATGCCAAATAACCATAAGTACACTGACCATAAACCTACTATTTTTGAAGATCTGTTTGCTTTCTTATGACAGTTGTAGGTCAGAAAAAGTAGACACCATTTTAGAGACATTAATTAATTTATGGGAGTGTGCAGAAGTAACATGCAAAGAAAAAAACCCTATCACAACATGGGAACATGGCAGAAGCATGGCTAACACTTAATTAATTAATTAATTAATAATGTAATGACACATTGTACTTTATTGAAGGCACAACTGCAGAACACCTCCATTTTGCATTTTCCTTTCAATGAGCAGTTTAATAAACAAAATAGATCTAGAGTCCCAGGGCATCTTTCTGAACAGTGCACCCCAGAAGAGCATTGGCGGCTTCCACACACTCAGTCAGGCCTTGAGCTAGAGAAAAACAGACAGAAACTCAATGATAAACATTTAGTTCATAAAATAATGTATTATTTATGTACAGAAAGGCTGCACAATTTTGGGAAAAACAATTACATATAATTCAGGATTCAGTCCAGAGTGTGTTAAGCCATACAATAGATTTTAACACTGTCACCACCATGATAGTAGAGATTTTTTAAACTAAAACGACACAGCTAATTTGGGCCAAATCACAAAGAAGAGAGTAAAAACAAAATTGGTCAGAGGCCACACTTGGCACCTGGGCAATAATTAAAACATCACTATTTTATTCATGGGATTCTTTATAAGCTTTGTATTTTAATTTGTCTATAAGTGCCATTATGAGCACCTTTCACCATTTAAAAGATAGAATATTTTATTTTGAAGTGTTTTCATCTATGAAACCGATGAATATTAAAAGTATCCAAGTCCCACTGTGTGTCACCAAATCCTACGTTAGTGATCAGTGACTGTTTAAGTGGTCACACTGGTCAAAATAAAGAGACAAGTGGTTATTAATTGTAATTGAATTTAATGAGAAGTTACCGTTCTGTGAGCGCAGCCACATCACAGCCTTCATGACCAACAGCTCCCACTCGTCCTTAGCATCAGCTTTCAGACCATGAAGCCAGACCAGAGCCAAAATGGTGGCCCACACTTCTTTCTTTGCCTGAACAACACAAAGTAAAAAGAGGAATATTTTTTGTGCATACTGTAGAGTGCTGTTTTGCTAGAAACTCTGACATTGTGTAAGGTGTGAGTTAAAGATCCTGCTGACAGAGAACTCCTCATTACATAGACATCTCACCATTGCAGGCAGTTTGCTCTCCAGGTCTTGGCTGGTCTTGCTCAGGGCTTGGGCCAGAGCTGGTTCTAACTCCCAGCAGCCTGAAGCCTTCTGCAGGGACACCACCTGCAGCAGAGGGTCCCGCTGCACTTTGGGCAAAGAAGGCAATGTCATGTCCCTGCATGGTTGTGCCACAAAGTTACACCCCAGATCATCTTTTGAAGACTCATCCATATGAGTATGGATGGGTCCATGTAATGCCCCTGCAAAACACAAAAGAGCACAGTTTAGACACTTTGGGTATGTTCACATTTGCACACACAGCGCATGAAACTAAACCACTTAATCAACTGACTAAACTTTTTATTGGTTCATTATTTTATCTAGTATTTATGGGACAACAGCAGAAAGGAGAAGGAGGTTACTTGAAAATTTGTGAATCGTGGTCATGAGTTTAATCTGCATTGTCATATACATACAGTTTCCTGGTATTTTTCTGTACAAATAGTTGTTTTTCTGTGGACTCCAGTGTAGACTGGCAGGACATATTTTGTCGACTACTGCACCCGGGGGAGTCAAAGGGGGGTGACAAAGAGGTTGTTGTCCCAAGCCCCAGGGTCTTATAAGTCCAGAATTTAACCCTCGTAACACCTGTTATGTTCAGAAGGCCCTAGAGAGACGTTTTCTTAGATAGCGGATTCTTAGATTGTATATCATTATGTTATAACAAACTAAAAGTCGCAAAATCACTTACCATCAAAAGATCCAGAAGGTCCACAATGTGGGAAGGAAACAACTGAATATTACCTTATAAAAACGTTTCTTCATATTCAGATACTTACTCTTTGGGTGAGAGCCCTTGTACGGTCTTCTGGCACCTGACACAAATGTTGAAACAAAACATTAGCCAAATTGCTAACTTGAACTGACTGCACCTGTACTGTTGAACATGTTTCAGTGGACAGCCCATATACATGTACTGCTTACATTACATGACTTCATTGTCAATATTGGATTTACTTACAAGCCTTATATACTACCATACGAGGACGAGCCATCATCCCTGTGGGGGAGATTAATACAGGATTATGTACAGGTCAACTGAAACTAAAATAAATACATGTTCGAGATTATAATCATTGCAAATCAGAGTTCATGTTTGTCTGTCTTTACAGTTACAGTTTTGAGTATTGAGTATTGCCGGGTTACATGCACTGGCATCATGTTCATGTTAATATATAGTTTTTTCAGTGAGGAAAATGCTGCTTAGTTTTGGGACTTGCTTGGTAAAGGGACATCTCTTCTCAGCAGAGGGCCTTGAATGGCTTCTCCGCTGGTTTTGTTCACGGCGATGAAGGCAGTGAAGGAGCTGCTGACTCCTGATTGGACGCTCAGATCAATGATTTTCTTCTTCACAGCGTCGTCTTTCTGTCCTCTAGCGCCCTCTTGCTCCTGCTCCAGAGATCGAATGAGAGAGAGCGTGCTGCCAGCCTGTGCACTGTGAGTCTGCACATAAACAGGAAACAGAAAACTACATTAAACAGACAAGTGCTGAGGTTAATGGTGAACTTATTTATCCTCCATAGAGGAAGTTCATTCTCTACATTTGACCAGTGCTTCAGTGCTGCTGTGGCACCCTGTTAGGAGTAGTGGGCAGCTGCCGTGCAGAGGTCAGGGACCCATCTCCAGATCTTGGTTTGGTCAGGACCACCTAGCTGGAGGATTTTGTCTAATGTGCATGTTTTGGGTTGAGTTGTTTACAGGATTTATTATTATTCTTGGGTGGTTCATGTAATTCATGTGAGTGTAATTACATTTTTTAAATTTTAAATTAATTTCTCATATCCTAATTTGAGATACAATTCTTAACTGTGACAGCAGATGTTTGTCAGACATTCTCTGTTGGCGTTGATACAAATGTTATTAAAATAATAGTAGTGTTTTGATTAAATGAAACTACACAATGTACAGAGTGGTTTTAAAAGCTGTTTAACAATGGGCTTTGCTGTGGTTGAACATATAACAATCTCTCTTGTGTTATATGTTATATAGTCCATCTCCAGCACTGCCAACTGTTCATGTTGAATTACCTTTAGACACACAGTGTGTTCACACTCACCCTGTGTCCTCCGCTGGTTTGAGGCTGAAGTTGAGCTTGTTCTCGGTGGGACGTCCTGCCAGGCTGTACTTGACAGTCACACAGCCCTCTGCTCCCTCTTTGCTCTAAAATACACCACAGCTTTTGGCCATTGCTCTAAACAGAAATGTACTGCCCCCTACAGCCCACAGTGAGCACCTGTCCAGTGAGTTGGGCGTACAGCAGTGACCGTTGTCCCTGGAAAATGGAAATGGATGTGAGAGGTGGGGACAGCACAGAGGCAGACACCCCTTTGGGCAGGTCCCATTTCACAGAGATGTCCACCACTGCTGGCTGCATGGCGAAGCGCAAAGACTGGATCACCTGGAGAGAACACAGGGATTATAGAAGTTATCTGATCCATTTTAGGGTAGTAAATAATAATAACGCATTAATCATATTAATCGTACACACAGAACTTTTCCAAACACTAATAGTCCCTTTACAATTGTGTATTTTTCATTCACTCCCAGTGCTCATTGGTGATAAGCTTTTCTGCAGCCTGATGGAACTGTGGTAACCAATCTGCACCTACGGCCCCCGATCACCAACGCTCACACCACACATATACATAATAAGAAATATGGATGAAGTGTCTTGCAAAAAGACACATCAACAGTGTGCACTAGTCAGAGCTGGCATCAAAATAATGCAACACAACAATAATAAATAACAATACTAAAAATCTGTCACAGTCACTGGTGGTGAACATCTTGAGTAAGCAGCAATCTCTATGAATCACAATTGTGATGTGTTACTTTGGGTTGCATCCTGTCATTTCCAGTGATGAACTGGGCGTGTCCTCCTCCTTCTTTGGCCAAACCCTTGATAAGAGCAGAACTGGCTCCTTCTCCAATCCCAAAAGAAAAACACCTGAGACATAAAGAGGTTTGATTCACACAATAAACAGGACACAAGTTCAGTCAATGCTGTATTTTACCTGTGAGAGCCTGCATTAGACTTGACCAGGTTGATGACTTCTTTGGTGTTTCTTACTTCTCCATCAGTGAAGACAAACAGCTACAGAGCACAGTTCAGACAGTTTTACATTTCATGCAGCAGTGACAGAGAAGACAGTAAATATCCCAGAAATAAGTCAAGTACAGGAACTTTAAACTTTGTATTATGTGTTGAAAGAAATAAAGGGCTTGTTCACACTGGTACAAAAAAGAAATTGGGACTACATAGCAGTAAACCTCAAATGATTACTTAACCAAACTAAACCAGGTCTACAACAGGACTAAACCACAATGTACATCAGGAATAAACTGGGCTCAAACCAGGACCATCAAATGTAAATGCACTCTAAAATAAGTCAAATCTGCCCTCTACCTCTGCATTCATGCACACCACATCCAAATTGGGAATAAACCCAGCCTTAAACCTGGACTAGACCTGAACCACTGCAGGCTAATCTGAACAGACACACAGATCATCTGAATGTACCTGTCTGGGCTGGTTGGGGATGCAGCCCTGACTGTAAATGCGTTTTAGAGGAGCCAGAATCTCAGTTCCTCCCAGGTTAGCCTCCATCTTTTCCACCTTTTTCAGAGCCTCCTCCATTGTCTTTTGGCTGTACCCACACTCTCCCTGTAAAAAAAGACACAGCGAAAGCATCTTTAGATGTGTGTCTTGAGGATTTGTGCAGAGATTGCAATACTGTGATTTTTAAAAATCATTTACGGAAAAATGTGTTCAAATGTGGATCCAAAACTGTAGATGTTAAAGTAGCAGCCCATGGGTAAGCTCTTGAGCAGCAGCAGCAGAGTGTCCTGAGAACATAAAACTATAGTGAGAGAAAAGCTGAACTATAACAGTTTGCTCTTGTATACAGCCTATGTACGCACTGCATACCCGTGCACTGGCAATCCGACTCCCTGACTCTCTTCTGTGGCCCATAGAGCAGCCCATACTTCCAGATCGATCCAATAGAAACACAAACTCTCCAGAGGAAGACACAGACGACATAATGTCTTTGGGGAACTCCGGATACAGACTCAGCATCAGGGCTGGGTCTCCCATCAGAGAGCCTGAAAACCATGGAGAGAACAGTTTTGCAGATTTACACTAAAACACTAAAAATATCACCACAAAAGAAATGAAAACAAAAATCAATCTCATGCTCAAGCAGACAATAATTAAAATTTTAGTTAGAATCACTGTTCTATAATGGATGCATTTATTGAACTTAATCCCTTCACATCAAAGCTTTTTATATATGAAGAAATGAAATGAATGAAGCCAGAAAATAAAACATCTAACAGACTCAACTGCAAACCTTTCTCTTACCCCTAGATGGCAGTAGAATACACAGAGTATCATGTGCTCACCAGGTTTGGCTGAGGCCTGTCCTGCCTCCACCACAGCTGAGGGCTGGTGACTGTCTTTGTAATAAATGAGCAGCTCCACGTCTCGGTCAAACTTGTGTCCTGCTGCCAGTTTCACCTACGAACAAATAAAATGTGCTTAATGCAGTTTATAGTGTAGTATTTCTGTAGTTCTAATGGGGTTTAAATGAAATGGTGTTGTAGAATTATCATATAGGGTTGTAGTTAATTAAATTATAATCTTGATTTCAGTTATAATTACAATTACAAAAATGTTGCAATCAAAAATATAATGAACTTGTGGTCAGAATATACTAATATTTGCTTATTTTATGATTTTCTGAATATTTTGATCACACAGATGAGCTATTGTTGAAGTAGTTATTTCTACAGTGGATGGACAACATCAGCGTTGTTTACCGATGCCTTAGTTTGATCTTGGTTGAGATACTCCACCGGGTCCACGGTGCAGCTGGACTCTATATTGGAGACTGACCGGGGTGACTCGACTCGGGCCGAAAAGGTCAGATCATAGGGCACCAGAGAAGACGGGACCGATGTCACTTTCACACTGCTGCTTTCTGTTCCTGTAAAAACACATGATCTATAATCATTATCCATGCACCAGGGCGGAACCAGTTTGGAAACATGCTTAACTGTATTTCTGGTCTGAAGAAGACTAAGCTACAGGGATTGTAGGTTTGATTACAACTATTACAACAACATGCTTAGATGTGTTTGGCTGGTCTTGTGACTGACTGGCTGACACTGTGAGCAGTTTTTATCTTAAATTTTGGGATTTTGAGGAACTAAGAAGTAGAACATGAGTAGTTCAAAGGACAGACATTAAGGACTATTGGATTGTGTGATGTGAGCCGTTTGTTTTTCCTGTATCTATGGCAAGCCTGAATGGAGCTAGTTATGCTAACCAGCTAGCTCTGAAATGCTACAGACTTTTTACAACAGTACAACAGACTTTCTGTACCAAATATGACAGAAGACATTCCAGAGGGAATGGCCTGTCTTATTTCTGACCAAAACAACAGAGCAGAGTCAGAGTGAGGCGTAGAAGAGTCTTTCCTCTTGTGTCTCCAGAGTTCACCTGACTCCCCTGGACACAGAGGAGGGACACTTTTGTCCTGAGGGCTGATACTCACCTCAAACTGCACAAACACTGGATCTGATGGCTCTACCTGTTGAGCTGCGCTGAGATGCCTGAGATTTATATTATGATTGTGTTCCACTGGTCAATGCGCTTAAATTGCCTCTTGGGAACAAATAAAGTGATACTGACTGATTCCAAACATTAGAATATAATATGTTGGTGTCTGGGGACATTGTATTACTGAAATACTTTCTGTTTGTCATTTGCTCATTGCAACCCTTCAAATTGTGATTCAGATCTTGTAGCTCTACAGTGCATCACGCAGTAAGAGGTCTGAATCAGATGTATGAACTGTTTCCCTCTTGCCTTAAAATACCTTTAAAGTTCTTGTTATTAGGTTCTTTTTTCAGACCAAGACTTTGTTTTCATATAGACACTATAAAGGAATATAAACCAGGAGGGGGCTTTTTTACTCTCACACACCTGGGATACTGTCCTGAGGAAGACGGACTGCAGATGGCGCTGTCATCCTGCCTCCACTGGCAGGAAGACAGTGACAAAAACCTGTATAAATCAGGTCAGGTATGAAAACAAACTCTTGGTCTTAAAAAACAACCTAATAACATAAATTATCGAAAGACCAAATTAACCTCATTGGACTATCAAGTTTTTTACAATAAGATTATTAATAATCTAAAATGAATTTTGATATTGTTAATTTTTCAGTGTTGTCATCTTTCCCATCAGTTTGTAAATCCTAAATTGACTTTGTTTTTGGAACCAGCCTCAGAGCAGTCTGACCTGCAGGTTGGTATCGAGGGTTGAGGACAGCAGGAAGACAAAATCTCAGAGCTTCATCGGCCTGCACATCCAGCTCAGTGACATACTCCAGCCTGATGGAGGCGCTCTCTCCAGGGGACAGACTGCCAACACTCATAGAGAATATATCTGGACTCTGGTCGCTCTCCTCCAATAGAAAGGCCTGTTGACCGGAGCTCAGTGCATCATCATACTCCTCACGAGCCTGGAACAGGTAGTGTTGAAAATGTTAAAGTGCATGAACATTAGTCACATGAGGAAACCAATAGAAAACCCACGTATGGCTCCTACAGAACTGTTTGCCTGTTGTGTTGCACATGCACCTCCATTTCTTCTGCACGTACCTGTTTCTTCTCTTTCACCTCAGCCACGATAAGAGTCTCTCCAACTTTAGCACTGAAATGGCAGACGGCTGCTTCACTGGGCATGGGAAAAACAAACACCGCCTCGATGGGTTTCTCCTCTTTGTTTTTTGTAGAGCAGCGTTGACACCACTGTAGCAACATGGTCCTTCACATCCACCTGAACATCCACACTCTGCAGAGGCACTGACACAAAACAACACACCTGACATTTGGACATTTCTTTGTGCTATTGGGGAAGTTTTAGTTATTTTTCTTTTCTATGATAACATTTTAGCAGTTCAGGGTTGAACTATTGTACTCTATATCAAAAGAGATAAGATTTTATCTGCCTGAACCAATCAGAACACAGAATAAATTAAAATGGATCACAGTTAACTGCTTTGAAACATTGACGCTCCATCCTTGCTCTGTTACAGAAGAGTTTTTGGTCTCAAAAGGATATTTCAGGCCAAATTTCAGATACATTTTTAAGTATTTTGAGTCATTATGAATGACTTAAAATAATAATATAAAATGAAAGGAAAGTTGAAGTCTTAATCTTACTTTTGATACTTTTTGTGCAAGTATAATGCTGTTAGCTCTTAGACTGCTTACTAACTAAAGAAAACTAAGTCTAAGAAGCCTAGAAACAAAAAACAAGCAAATTAATATCCAATAACCATTATTGATGATTGAATAGTAAAAGTTGAATTCTCAACTATTATTTGGATCATATTTACCTATTTGTAAACTTAAGTTTATGGTCATGTACAAACATATGTAAATGCAAATGTTTCATATTTGACTTTTAAATGTGTAGAGTATTCTCTAAAACTCTTGTTTGATTTAAATAAGTTGCCCCCTGAAACGTGAGTTGTTGTTTTTGACATGTTTTCTAGAGAGAACTGTAAACCATAGAATTGTGGAGTTTGTGTGCATGGACCATGCCCCTCGACCCCATGTTATGTTAAACACTGGACTGATTCCTGGTCTTTTTGGGCCTCACTCAATAAATGGAGAGGACATGTTTGTCCCTCTTCTCCAAAGATTCATGGTCACCACTTTATTACTACAACTTGGACCGCTAAAGAACCTACAATTCTGAATGAATCATGCATTTTCAAAGTTAAAAATATTAAAAGAGATTTAGAAGAGACCACTTCCCAGAACACCCACAAATGTTCAAATTAAATTTTCTCAATTTACTGTCTCCTGATGGTGCCCTTTATTCTCATGTATCAGGTAAGTGTATCTCCTCTTTTGTTTCTGCTGTACAAGAAATCAAGACTTGAAACCTACACAAAACACATATGGAACCTTCTAATTCTAAGGGGATGAACTGAACAATCCTTTCACTAATCAGACAGTAGACTGATATTCCTCCCCCAAATGACGCAGTAGTAGTATTTAGTAGTAGTATATTTCAAGTGCATCAATACATTACGTGAGCCATACCTGCTTGTTTCTCGGGTGTAATCAATCCACACCTCTCCATTTTCGTTTTATTTCACTTCGTGTTAAAGAAAAAAAAAACTGTAAGACAAATATAAATATATATGTGAATGGAGGTTTGCAGTAATCCGCGTAGCAGTTAAAATCCAGTTTAACTTTCAATGCAGATTTGAACGAACGGAATAAGATTAAATAAGATACAAAAGTTTTTTTTTAAATGTAGTAAAGAGATATTATTAAAGATATATTAGTATTAAAACGCGCAGAGCAATAATGTCACCGTCCTACCTCTGATAGAAGAACACGTTCTGTCGTGGTTTTAATCAATACTTCAGTGCGGATGTGAGACGCACAGACGCGCTGTTGGTTTACCGCAAACTTCAACTAAACCGGAAGAGATTTTATTAATTATGAAAATGCGTTTTACACCGGTGATTACAGTCAGTGTAGTTGTTCCTGGTTTGGTTCTGATTTAATTTCCTATCTGCCTGATTTGCTCTTGGGGGCAGACACACTCTAACAGGGGTTCCCAAACTTTTCAAAACGTGTTGAATCAGGTTCAGTATAGTTTATTTAGAAAGACTGGGCTTTTTATTTTAAAAGACTGGGCATTTGGGCTTTTTGGCCGACTGTAAAGCCACAGTAATAAACATTTTAGCCAAAGAATACTAGAATAAATTAGTTTTTATTATAATTATTATTTTGGTTGTGAAAAAAAAAAAACATGCTTTTTTATTGTGAAATTGGCCTCATCCCCAGATTCTCAAGAGAGTACAAAATGTACTCCTTGAATTATCATGAAGGTGTGGCATGTTACTCCTTCTACACAGTAGCCATCTTATATAATAATATTTTAAAATATGTGGCCCTGTGAGAAAAAGACAAGACAAGGCAAGTTTATTTGTATAGCACAATTCGTACACAGAGTAATTCAAAGTGCTTTACAGAATAAGAAATACATTAAAATCATAATAAAAACAAATCAAAACATAAATAATCATAAAGACTAAAATTAAAAAAGTGAACCTGAAACGCTGACTCCCCTTGTTTAGTCGTGACTCTGGGCACCAGCAGGAGGCCGGTCCCTGAGCTCCTCAGAGTGCGAGATGGTTCATATGACACTAACATGTCACAGATGGACTTTGGTGCTCGGCCATGGAGACACTTGTACACAAGAAGAGCTGCTTTAAAGTCTATTCTCTGTGCCACAGGAAGCCAGTGCAGAGACCTGAGCACAGGACTTATGTGCTCGTACTTCCTAGTTCGAGTAAGGACCCGAGCTGCAGCGTTCTGGATGTTCTGCAGCGTCTCACAGCTCGTTTGGAGAGACCAGTGAGCAGACCATTACAGTAGTCTAACCTACTGGAGACAAACGCATGGATAAGTCTCTCCATGTCTGCTTTAGACAGTAAACCTTTGATTTTTTTAACTGGTAAAAGGCCGCAGATGTTATTGAGCTGATGTCGCTATTAAAGTTCAAATCTGAGTCCATTATTACCCCGAGATTTCTTGCCTGATTTGAAGGTTTTAGAGAGAGAGACTGGAGGTGACTGCTGACACTGTCCCTTTGTTTCTGTGGACCAAACACTATGACTTCAGTCTTGTCAGAGTTTAGCTGGAGAAAGTTGTTTTGCATCCACACACTGATCTGTTGGATGCAGTGACAAAGTGAGTCCACTGGTCCATAGTCTCCTGCTGCCAGTGAGACGTAGATCTGAGTGTCATCTGCATAATTGTGGTAGGACACGTTATTGCTGCTTATTAACTGGCCGAATGGCAGCATGTAGAGATTGAACAACAGGGGGCCCAGGATTGACCCCTGAGGCACCCCACAGGTCAGGGCTATGCGATCTGAGACAGTTTCCAATTTCAACAAAATACTTCCTGTCTTCTAGATAGGACTTGAACCAGTTTAGTACAGTACCAGAGATGCCCACCCAGTCCTCTAGTCTCTGTAAGAGGATCCCATGATCGACAGTGTCAAAAGCAGCACTGAGATCTAACAGGATCAGGATTGAGACCTGCATCAATGTTCAGGCGGATGTCATTTGTCACCTTGATAAGAGCAGTCTCAGTGCTGTGGTGGGCTCTAAAACCTGATTGGAAAACATCAAAGGAGTTGTTAATTTGGAGAAAGTTCGTAAGCTGTTGGTAAACAGCTTTTTCAAGGACTTTGCCAAAAAATGGCAGATTTGAGATGGGTCGGAAATTGTTCAGTACTGTGGCATCAAGGCTGCTCTTCTTTAGGAGAGGCTTAATGACCGCAGTTTTCAATGTGTTTGGGAATGTTCCAGACTGAAGTGATATGTTAACTATGTGAGCGAGTGGTGAAAGTAAACTGCTGAGGACGGACTTTAGAAATCTAGTGGGTAACATGTCAAGGTAGCAAGTAGATGAACTCAGACTGGTAACGATCTCTAAAACTGTTTTGTCAGTTACAAGTGCAAAGTGATTCAGCTCGAAGTGTCTATGTGGCTGCATGCTTGTTATTTGTGTTGTGGAAGTCACTATCACTCAGGCACAAAGCAAAGATCAGTGCAACACCAGCTTTAGCAGATATAGGGAATGCTCTGGTCGAGGTTGTTTTTTGTGGTCTCTACTTTCCGTAAAGGAAAAAGAAAACATTGACAAAAACTAGATCAAGTGAACACAGGCATGTTAAGAGAAAAGGTTTGTTCTCACCCTGCAAAAGTCCCTAATTCAGTGGAATAGTGGTGGTGGTTCTGCTGGGTCTTAATGTTTAGCCCATGTATTTAATTTATTTGTTTCATCTGAAGTTAAATATGCCCTTAACAATGCTAAATGTTTTCAGTTCATTTCTTTTCTGGAAGAACAAAGTTTGTCAAATTAATGAATCACTTCAAGTTAAATAAATGGCTTCAAGTGTTAGAAGACTTCATTGCAAGTGTAAAGAAGACGACATTCCCAAAAGAAAAGTTTGCATACAGCTTGTTCAAACATATAGTTGAATTTCAGCTTTTAGTTGTTGCTTAGCCACTAATGCCAGTAAAATGTGAGTGCCTGAGTGCTGAGGGGGCTGTTAATGTTTCTAATTGTTTTTAGGCAGGACTTTTTAGGGTGTGTGAGCAAAAGTGAGAGTGATGGAGAACAGGGGGCTGGGGTGCACTGGCCTCTAAGGTATGTGTCTCTGTTGTGATGAATCAATTCAATAGGCATTAAGTGAGGAATTGGGGTAAAGCATGAGGCTGGGTTGTCCCATGGCAAACTCATGTGGGACTGGAAAAAAGTTACTGTTTAACCCCGAAATCCCCCGAGATTAAACGGATAACACTTTGTAGGATTATCCTGATTTACCTAAACATCAAACAGAGGTATTTTATTTCTCCACTTGATATTTGAGTTAATTTAAGATGAAATTATGCACAAAACTGGTTCAAACTGGTCTTTTCTTATGAGAGTTTGAAGTGGTGAGTGGGAGGTGCCAAATTAACATTAGGGGAAGTTGAATGAACACTGAGAGAAGTGGAATAAACACTAGGGGATATAGAATTAACTTCAACAATATCAACTTAAAATTCTTGTGTCTAACAGAAAAAGCCTAGTGACACAATTTGACAAATACTGTAACACCCTTTGAACTTGTGAGCATAGACTTTCTTCATCTCAATGAATATATATTAATGATAGTTGATCACTTCACACCCTTTGCACAAGCTGATGCTATTGCCCAGAGGTTGGGACTTGCAAGTCGTGACTTGGGCTTGAGTCAGACTTGAGTCAATATTTTTATGATTTGAGACTTGACTTCATACAATGGACTAAGACTTGGGACTCTACTCGGACTTGAAGGTCAGTGACTTGGGACTTGACTTGGACTTGAGCCCTGTGACTTGAGAAGACCTGATACTTTTCCTAAAAAATATGTTTTTAGAAAATGCTTTTCTCTTTACAGTTGATGCATGTGGTGCTTATTTTTACAGGAACAAACTGGAACATGTCCCTCCCACTTCTCTGTTTGGTACTTTGGATGGAACTGAAGTACTGTGATGTGGTATCATCAAATATACTAAAGTAATATACAGTACAATGCAGTAAAACAGAGGGAACTACATAAAACATGATCCTTCCATTTCAGACACATGAAAAAATAACTGTTATTTAGCACTGTTACATCTGAATTCTTTCTATTCTGACTGTAATGATTCACACTAAGATTTTGACAAGACATTTAAAAAGAAAAAATTTACATTTCTACAACTCTTATATAAAAACTCATATATAACAATTACCTGAAGTACAATTTAGTTTAAAATTCATATTAATGGCATAAATCTAAGCTACTTTGGTTTAAAGATTTGAAATGACTCAAAGCTCAAAGCAGACGACTTGGACTTAACTTAGATTTATGGGCCCGAGACTCGAGACTCGAGTGACTTGCTTGTCTTTGACTTGGGACTTGACTTGGACTTGAGGTCAAAGATTTGAAACTTACTTGAGACTTGCAAAACAAGGACTTGGTCCCACCTCTGCTACTACCTCAAGCAGAGAAACTGCTGCTAACCACATATTCAGTGGTTATGCCCTGAAATTTGACTTTCCTTGTTGTATTCACCATGACCAAGGCAATGAATTTATTCACACACAGGCACAAATATCAGACAGACATCAGGGTTGTCACAGTCACAAATTTTAGGTTATTCTAGATGTGACTTCTTCTGCACCAGAAGATGTTTGTATCTCTAGTTGCAGAGATGGCTCGAACCACTGAAGGTTTTCATTGCTGATCTGAATTATCGCCATGGCAACCAACACCTGGTAGAACATCTGCACACAGCAGCTGTAGTGGGTCCTCTGATGATTGGGCTTGTCCAGTAGAGGTCACTAAAAGCTTGTCTTGGTCTTCTCCTGGAGGCCGGGTCTCCTCTTCTGGCAGGGTGGAGTTGCCTTGAAGAAATAGACATCCCTCTTCTTTTGGAGGCCCTTCAGTCTAACCTCCTCTAGAAAAAGATCCTGCGGCTCTAGAGCTGTCTTGACCTTTAGTGGCCTGTAACATTTTATCTGTGGCATTCTTTTCCACCTTTTGTTTGTCTTTGCCATCCCACCTTGGATTTTTGACATTTTACATGACTTCCCATAGACTTCACCCTAATACTGTTTTTAACTGAAGTTTTGATGGGAACATATAGGCCTACTATTTTGGAAGACCTGATTGAAAAATTAGACACCATTTTAAAGACATTTATTAATTCATTTATTGGAGTGTATACACAAGTAACTTGTGCAAAGAAAAATAACCCTATCACAACAGGAATGGCTTACACTTGAATCAAACTAACATGTTAGGAACGATGTAATGACACATTGTACTGTATGTAAGCCACATTTGCAGAACACCTCCATTTTGCATGTTCCTTTAAATAAGCTGTTTAATTGAAAAATAAAAAATAAAAAAAAAGATCTAGAGTCCCAGTGCATCTTTCTGAACAGTGCACCCCAGCAGAGCATTGGCAGCTTCCACACACTCAGTCAGGCCTTGAGCTAGAGAAAAACAGACCCAAAAAATCAATGATAAACATTTAGTTCATAAAATAATTTCTTATTTATGTACAGTAAGATTGCACAATTTTAGGAAAAAAATCTAACTGTACTACCATCGCAATTAGAGTGGCTTTTTGCTTGGTTTTCTGATAAGGATTCAGTACAGAATGTTTTGAACCATATGATAGATTTATTTTTTTTATTTTAATTTGGGCCAAATCACAAGGAGAGAGAATCAAGAAAACTGTTTACATTTGGCACTTTTAATTTTCTTAATTTAAGATATTGAATATTTTCTTAGAATTTTAATTGCTAAAAAGCTTTTAAAAATTGCTCAAAAGTGTGTCTCACCAAATCCTACATTATTGATCAGTGACTGTTTAAGTGGTCAAAATATAGAGACACGTGGTTATTAATTGTAACTGAATTTAAGGAGAAGTTACCGTTCTGTGAGCGCAGCCACATCACAGCCTTCATGACCAACAGCTCCCACTCGTCCTTAGCATCAGCTTTCAGACCATGAAGCCAGACCAGAGCCAAAATGGTGGCCCACACTTCTTTCTTTGCCTAAATAACCGACACAAAGCAAAAAGAGGAATCTTTTTTCTGTAGAAAACTGTTCAGTTGAGTGGAAAAGAGCACCAGCCAGTACAAGTTATATTATATTTTGGTGCTATTTTATAATAACTACATCTTAATTGGCCAAAAAAAACACACAATGTCTTATATAATGAACAAATAGTTGATTAAGAATGATTCAGGCTTAGTAAATACTTCATTAAGAGGGTAGAAAATAGGGTCAGGGTAAGAATTAAGTAGTGACCAAGCCAGAATCATTCTTAATCATTCTTCTTTGTTTATTGTGAATTAAGTCTCCTTTTAGCTCCTTTAAGTGAAATATTTATTATATATGGTATAAAATTACACTTTTCATTAATAATTATTTTATGATAAAATAAACGTGTGAAAAAATATTTTGCAGTGTAAAAAAGTGTGAAGTGTAAAAAAAAAAAATTACCTTAATTAATGACTTCATGTAGTTTTTAAAATAGTCCTGATTAATCACAATTCTTTAGCTCTCACAATTATATTGATTAACCTAACAATCTTGACCTCCATACTCACCATTGCAGGCAGTTTGCTCTCCAGGTCTTGGCTGGTCTTGCTCAGGGCTTGGGCCAGAGCTGGTTCTAACTCCCAGCAGCCTGAAGCCTTCTGCAGGGACACCACCTGCAGCAGAGGGTCCCGCTGCACTTTGGGTGAGGGAGGCTTATAACACTCATCGACAGGCTTAACATAATCATCATCATCATCATCATCATCATCATAACAGTCTTCGGTCAGTAAAACCGCTGCAAACACAGAGAGCACAGTTTAGACACTTCAGCTGCAGAAACAAATTTGGACTTAGAGCTGTAGTCCTCTAGTCGCTTAATTGGATGATGATTATTTTTAGCCGACTAAACTTTCTATTGTTGATCATTATTTTATCTAGAGTTTAGGAATTTATGGGACAACAGAAAAAAGGAGAAGTTGGTTATTTGTCCAGCACGGTCATGAGTTTAATCTGCATTGTCATATAAATACAGTTTCCTGGTATTTTTCTATTCAAGTAGTTGTTTTTCTGTGGAGTCCCGTGTACATAAGCAGGACGTCTTTTGTCGACTTCTGCACTCAGGGGGGGACAAAGAGGTTTGTTGTCCCAGGCCCCAGGGTCTTAGGAGTCCAGAATTTTACCCTCTTCCTATTCATTTATATTAAAGAGGAGCATGTGAGGTGTCTTGCCCCAGAGCCTCAGATTTCTGTCGACGGGCCTGGCTGTATGACTTGGACTAGACCAGGACCAAACCAACCAGGGGTGTAGCATGAAATTCTATGTGATTATCTGCATTGGGCAATTATGATTTCAAAATTCCAGAGATCAAAACACTTTCATCTCCAAGGTTTCACACAATGTATCTTGCACTGGAGCTGTGAGAAAAATACATCACATCACATAACTAAAGAAGTAACAACAAACAGAGATAATTATATTAACAAAAAGCCTTCACCCCTAAAGGCCACACAACATCCGAGCCTCAATGATGATTTGGATTATTCCATGTTTCTCTGAAAGTTAACTTTTTGGGTGATTCTTTATTGTAAATGACATTTTTTTGTACTTGTGATAGTCAATTGTCTATGTATTTCATATGTGATGGACACACCTACTTTCCTCCAACATGTCTTGTTATTCTTGTTGTTGTTTGGTGGAGCTGCTCATCACTTATATATTCCTCATGGTTGGCCAACCTTTTTTTTTGTTTTTCTTGTTTTGGGGTTTGCTTGCTGTCTTTTTTCTGCTGTCAAGTGATGTTGTCATGTGATTAATTGATTGTATTTATTGACACCCAATGTGTCTTGTTGTTACAACTTTGCCCTGACGAAGACCATCTTGCTGGTCGAAACACGTTTGCGTCCCTTCATGTAATAAAGGACTTTTAATATACTCAGTTGGAGTGCCTCGGGTTTGTACCTTACCCATTTTTACATTTTCCTGTAATGGTAATTTTCTGTTCTAAAGCCTTCACCCCTCGTTGCGTCTGTGGGGTACATGCCCCCATGAACATCTTGCCTCTCTTCTCCACCTACATCACCCCTCCCCCAATGTCAGTGTAAATATGATCCCATCTTTCAGCTCAGGTTTATTAAAATAATTTTTTGACCACTGTTTTCTCATATAATCTCCTGAAACACACTAGACTGATGTGGCTTTGTCAGACTGTTACTCTTCAGAAATAACACTTGTTACAAAAAGATAAACAAAGTAAAATGTTAAGAAGGCGCTAGGGAGACATTTTCTTAAATAGCGGCTTGATTTGCACATCATTATGTTATAAAAAACTTAAAGTCACAAAATCACTTAACATCAAAAGATCCAGGAGATCAACTATATGGGGAAGAAACAACAGAATATTTCCTTATAAAAACCTTTGTTC